CCCGTCTTATAGTTGCCAAGGTTGAGGAACCCTGCACTACAGTATTCTTTCTGTGAATCTTAGCTTGCGCTAACTTCTTGTCTACTCCACCATTCTTGTTTTTTTCCTTTTTTTCCTGCACGTTTTTGCAGATTCAAAGCCTTCAGTTTCTTCCTGCTGCAAATACTTCCTTCTCTATTTTCTTTTTCTAACCTTTATCACTAGTTCAAAACCATCTACTCTAACTGGGCTAAGTATTGGGCAGAGGTCTTCCCTAAATTTGTGGACTTCTCCATTCCAACTGTGTGCTTTTCCATACAGTTATGAACCTGCTACATTCAATATTGCAAGAAATAATAGGTCCCCATAAAATACAGTGAATAACCTTTTCTCAAAATTAAGATGCTGGCAACCAGCTTAGTCTCTTTCACATACACAACATCTTTAAAAGTTTTAAAACTCTGAATCCAGAAAAAATATTTTATTAGCAGAACAACCTAGAAAAAAATACATGGACTTGTTTAAATCTGAGTTTCTCAGTAATCCAAATACACAAAGTTATCAATCATTTCTGATTATATGAGACTTTGATTTTATTGGATAGATTGCATGCATGAAATTTGCATGAAACATTCTGAAGAACTTGAAACTAACACACTATTTTGCCAGCTTAAGTTGGTTTGATAAAGATACTGCCCCATTAACAATTTTGGAATCCCAACAGCAGTAGAAGTGGTACATGTTGGAGGTTGAAATGTGTGCATGTGAGTGTTCCTGAGAATAGAAGTCTGAGCAGTTATTAAGGAAACAGTTTTTTATAACTATAACAGAAAAGAAATTTATTTACAGGAAGTAAATCATAATAGGCAAAGCCTAGCACCTGGCTAACCATATCCTACCAGAAAGAGAGTCAAAGAGCACATGCTCAGTGTCTGTGTGTCTGGGAAGGAAGGTGGAAAGATGTCGTAGAGATTTGCAATCTTTTAGGCAAAGAGGGAACAGGAGTAAATCCTTAACTCTCCACCTACCCTCCACTTGTGGTTAGTATAAGATGAGGGGTTGAAGAGTCAGTGTCGTGGAATCATACCTCCAAAGTATATACAGGCAAAGTACCTTTTATTTTCCTTTATTAATGAGTATAATTGAAATCAGTCTGTATTCTTTGGAAGAACTTAGAAGTTAGAGATTTCTATATAAATGTGATCCCTAGCAGCTTTGAGTTTATGGTCTGCCAGTTTGGGGGCAGCAAAATGGGAAAGACCAGTAAGAATAAAGTCCCTCTGCCCTGACAAGGTTTCAGTTTCTTCTTTACTTCATGTAGCTCCCAGAGAATTTCCCCGCCCATTACATTTTTAAATGTTTTTGCAGTTATAGCTTTAATACAAGGTAAAATATAAGCAATTTATTCAAAACTCTTATTGACCAGACATTAAATATTCCAGTAGTGCTTTATACTGAGTGCAGATAGTCCTCGCTTAACAACCACAATTGGGACAAGCAACTCCATCACTAAGCGACATGATTGTTAAGCAAGAAATCACATGACTGCAACTTGCAATTTTACTGCCAGCTTCTCCATTGACTCTGCTTGTTGGAAGCTGGTTGTGAAGGACACAAATGGTAATCCTGTGACTGCAGGACACTGCAACAGTCGTAAATGCCCACTGGTTGCAAAGTGCCTGCAGTCACTCATGTGACCGGGGACACTGCAAAGGTGGTAAGTGCACAGACTGATCATAAAGTTACCTTTTCAGTGCCATCGTAACTTCAAATGGTTGCTAAACAGGGCAGTCGTTAAGTGAAGTCTGTACAAGTCTGCATTAGACTTAATAGACATGCTTAATAATGTTGTATTACATGGTTTGATTCAAAATCATACCAAAACTTGGCCTTAATATTTTAATGTAATCATTAGTTCTGTTTCAGATGGAAGTTTTAAAATGTCTTATTATTGGTAGATAATGCTGGTCAAGAATTGGATGAAAGTAGTCTGCTGACTGCAATCACCATATTTATTTTATCTGCAAGTCCAGAAGTAACCACCATGGAATGTCTTCAGAGGCACTGCATTGAAAAGTTTAAATCAGCAATGGAATCGAAAGATCCCATTGTAAGTACAAGTTAAATTTGTTTTGAGATTTGCTGCCATTGCTATGTGCTTATGTTTAGCTCTTCCCACTGAATAAACATGTGCCTCCCACCACTGAAAGTGAGATGGTTGACTATACATATGTTCCACTATGATTCCATCCTATTATTAGCCCATAGCTTTTGTCAGTGAAAACAACCATCTGCATCAGCCATTTAGAATTTGATTCTACTTTATATAGTCAATATATGCTGAAACTGCATCACCCTATCAATCCTGACTATTTATTTAGGAAATCTGAAATCTCTGATCAAAAGAAATCCTGAACTTGGGATCTTCACAAAAGTTGGCATTCCATGTGTAAAACGTTATTCCATCTTTTTTAATTTCTTAGAGAGACACTGACAACCATGATTTGACTCCTAATATAAGGAAGTTCACAAATGGAAACTTTTCCCAGACTTTTCTCCACCTAGCAGCTCCAATTGCCTCATTCCATATTCTTCAGGATGGCCCCAACCATCCCAATGGTTACATTTTGGGGAAAATGCAGGTGGTTACAAGACAGGAAGCTTTCCTTAAATAAACTTCCTTAAATGTGCCTAACTTAGGCTCCAAGTCTATAGAAAGGCATTTATATAGATCTCAGCATTGCTACTTTTATTGAGGATGTATGGTGTCCCTAAGCTAACAGTCATTGTACAGTTACGAAAAAAGGGGAAAAGATCCTGGGATTAGCCTATATATTGGTACCTGACAATACCACCACCATTAATTCTCCTTTCCTCTACCGTGTTGTTTTTCTTTTCCTGTATCTAATAGGAGATCCTGCAAATAACTTTAGGATGTTTAAAAATACTTGTAGAAACTTAAAGTAATATTTAGTGTACAAAATATTCATACAAATAGCAGTTCACAATGGCAGTTTAACTTTTTGTTTTTTTACCTTTGGGTAGATTATCTTTTTAAATAGTTTTTTCTTTTTAGGTACAACTTAAATGCTACCAGCTGCTCCTTTCCATTTTCCAGTATCCAAACCAAGCTGTCTCATATCCTTACATTCATTCGTTAGTATCTTTGGTAGTGGCCAAACTACAGGAAACAGAGAAAATTAAACCTGAGAATTCTGCTGAACTTCAAGTTATTCAAGAAGGAATAAAGGTAGTGGCTGCTGTTATAGCACTTGCCGAGGAGGAGCATCGTAAGTGTCCTTTGTATATTCTTTCAGTTGTCCCGCATCCATGAAACATTGTAACATTATCTGATTTCTAGTTAGTGCCATTCTTCTGGCCTTTAGGCCCTGATATGCTATTACTCTCTACAAAAAGATCAATATTTGAAGGAATTTTCAGAGAAAATAATGGAAACTTGCAGGTTGCAGAAGTTTAACACTCTTATGATGCTCCTGAAAATTGCTCTGCCAAAAGATGTGTGATTTTGCTGCGAAGTACTGTGGCTGAGTGATATGTGGGCCCCAGGTTGCTTGTCCTTTCCTTAGAATTATCATTCTAAGATGCATAGCCTAATTTTGCCTATTTGTTGATTTTAATTGGATCAGTTTTACTGAAGTCACTGAAACAGTTCTCATCTAACACGGGAGAGTAAGTAGCTATAGACTACAGTCAGAATCAAATATTTTTAGTACATCAGTTTAGATTTTAAACTGCTTCCAATGCTTTTGTGAATTTGGAAAAAGTACATACAATCTCTTTTCATAAAAATACACTTGGGAAGCGTGTGTATGCGTGCATGTATTCATAGTATTTTGAAGAAATTATGACAAGGTAAGAAGGCAGATAGTCTTAAAAATACTTACCTGAAGCAGGGAGAATTAATGGGTTTTCATCATTGGAAAATCTCTTGCTTTCAGAATGCAAAGATCATGTTTTATGGCTTGAAGACAGTACAGCATTTTATGGCTAGAAAACAGTACAGCATAATATCCTAAATAGCAAGTTGAAATAATGTTAATTATTTATAATTAATTAATTAAGCAAACATATTTGTTTATTCAAAAGCAAATTCTAGTGTATTAAATGATACTAAGTTTCCAGTACATTTGTTTTAAGAGTAAAGTTTAAACACTGATAATTATGAAGCTAGTGCTGTTTATCATTACTGAATAAATTGTTCTTTTTGATTTTCACAGGAAATCAGCTAGTGGCTTGTTTTATTCCCATCCTCATATCTTTTCTTTTGGATGAGAATGCCCTAGGATCAGTTTCAAGTTCCGTGAAGCATCTTCACGAGTTTGCTTTGCATTATCTGATGCAGATTGGTCCACAGTACTCTTCAGCCTTTAAAAAATTAATGGCTTCTTCTCCATCAATGAAAGCAAGGCTTGAGTCAGCAGTGAAAGGAAATCAGGAAAGCATCAAGGATAAGTCAACAACTAAGCATTCAAAGAATCCTGGGAAAGGCTTGAGTATCCAACTAAAGACTAACTTTCTGTGAAAAACAACTTCTAAATCTGAAGCGCCTTGGTTATATTGAAAAGTGGTCTTTTTCCAGCTATTATCATGGAGTAGAGATTTTTGTTTACAGTTCTATTATGCATAATTTTATTTTATATAATGGCCCTATGCCAGAGAAGTGCACACATTCACCCATCTATCTATCGACTGACTCACTCAGTAGCAGCTACAGCTTTTACTGCTAAAGCTACTAAATGTAGAAATGGTAACCCAGCATATTATATCTATTTGCAAACACAATTCCCAGTGCAGAGGATGGCCATTTAGTCATTAAAATATATATTACAAGAATTTTTTTTTAAGTGTTGCAGTCCTCTTAATTTTGTTTACAACATACAACACTCTTGAATAAAATATATCAAAGGCTCGATTAAATGTGTTAACAACTTGATACACTTACATTAATAAAACTGCTTTTACTTCCAGTCTTGAATCTTAGCACAAACACTAGCATAGGGAAGCTCCTATGCATCGCTATTTCTTGATAATAATGATTATTTTTGTGTAGTAGCCACCGGTTTAATGTTTGCTGGTATGAGATTTTAAACAAAAATCCAAAGGAGTTACTTAGTGTATATTCACTTTTGGCTCCATGAAGTGCATTGCCTGTGCATTTTAGATGACAAGTAGGGAAAGCAACCTCTAATGCTAGAATTAATGGCACAAAGTATAGGGCTAGCTCCTTAATTCTGACTGGTAATTCAGGGATGCCATTATGATTTTGTGATGGAACATCAAATACAAGTCTAGACTTGAGCACAGACTTGGAATACCATTTAATCTAAACCATTATCCTATAGAGTTTGTTAAAAATGTTAATTTTGCTATCACATTTTAATTATAAATTTAATCCCCAAATTCCTTGCAGTTCTATACAGTAATATCTTGTGCTAATTTAGTCATGACATAATTAAGTAAAAGAACGGATATTCTTGAAATCCACAGAAATATAAAATTACTGATTAACTAAAGCCCACATTTAAATTATTATTGATAGTTTTACCAATGAATTGTGTAGCAATTAACAGTTTTATGATGAGTCTTCCCTCATACAGTTTTGGATATTTATATATGCAAAGTTAAGCACATCTGTTTATGATTACATCAGTGGGGCTTTTTACTACCAATACATTTTATTTGATTTTAAATGTAGCATGCCAAGCAGATCACTGAGGCTTACATATCTTGTTTAGACTATGAAAACTATTTGATGCAGTACCATCATATGAGGCATTATATTATTTATAGAAATCATTTTGTAGTCTTGAAAGATTGATGTACAATCGTACATTCAAATATCTAAGACTCTAATGGAAATGGATTACTTTTTCAAAAGTGGGTTTTATCTGAATTGAATTGCAGCTTGAATTATAAGAATAAACAATCACATATCTTAACAATGGATCCTATTTTATATAGAAATCTACGTGTTAATTCCACAATCATTATTTTTTAATTGTGCTGGCAACCATTGCCCTTTAATCCAATATTAAATGAAGTAAAGCAAATGTTAGGATGATTAAGATATTCCCATTTATTAATTTGAGGAAAATAAACACATCTGTAGAACCAATACTCAGGAAGTGATTGTATTTTATTATACATTTTGTACATAAAATTGTAAATTGTACAGATCTAACTCTAATGTCGTTTTTCTAATTTACATAAAGCTAATTTTCTTCAATTAAACTTCTCTCTTTTTTGTTAAATGACTCTGTGTGTATATGGATTTATCTATACTATTTTAATAACTTTTCCCCAGTATTATGTAGTCAGGTTGCATTCTCAGAGTACTTGGTTTTTTTACTGTTTCTATTCAATAGATAGAACACAAATCACAAATGAAGCAGCCTATTTTTTTTTAATAAGGAAAGGCCAATCCAGAAGACTGTTTCTTCAAAGATGAAAGTCTGCTTCCACAAATGAATTTTCTTTAGTTAATTATGTGAAGATAAGGCACAGAATTTTATTCAGAACTGTTTTCACATTGTTAAGTTAGCCTGAGTCAATAAAATAATGAAGGAAGTACATTTAGACTTGTTCTTATCAATAGAAATAATTATACAGAATACACTGGGTTATCACCTCAAATTTAGGAAATTTGGAAAATAATCACTATGCTACATCTTAAAAAATAAATATCCCATAACCAAATAAAGAGTACATTTGTATATATTATGAAATCACTGAGTTAAAAACAAACCTCTAGACCACATTTGTTCATGCTTGTTTATTCCTTTTTTTTAATTAGATTTTTATCCTGCCTTTTATATATTTTGGCCAATTCAAGCTGGCAAACATACCTAATACTCCTGCCTCCTATTTTTCCCACAGCACCAACCCTGTGAGATGGGTTGAGCTGAGAGAGAATAACTGGCGGCCCAAAGTCACCCAGCCAGCTTTCATGCCTAAGGCGGGACTAGAACTCACAGTCTCCTGCTTTCTAGTCTGGTACCTTAACCACTAGACCAAAACTGGTCTATTACTTGCTACTACTTACTATATAACTACTACACTTCCTTGGAAAAACAAAATTAAAAACTACAAGAAAATTGTAACAATAGTGATATATTTATAGGAGTGGGAAAGGTGAAAAGGTGGCTGAAGGAAGAAGCAGTTGGAGAATATAAAATTTCTGATGTCAGATATTTCTGATACCAGAAATTGACTTCAGGCATAGGTACACAGATGTATTTTATGCCTGAACATTCTAAATACCTATAAATACAAATACTACCACAACAAAAAAATAAAATAAAATACTGGTAAGATAATAGGGAAAGATACAGAAAAGTGTTTATAGGATTTCCTAATTTCTCATTTTATTAATTTATGATCCCGTAAACTAAATACCTTCTGTCAAACATAATGCTCAGTATAGACTCAGCATAACAAAGCATCTATTTATGGTAAACTACATATATCAAGTTAATATATTCCAAAAAAAGATAGTTATTTCATCTGTTGCTGGGTTGTTTGTGCTATGCTTACTTTTTCAGTACTGTATAAATTTCTCAATGTAGTTTGGAAGGAAGAAGGTTACAAGATAAGTTAAATACACATTGTGAAACTTGGCAGCTTTCCATTTTGCCAGCCAGTATTCAAACGAAGAACAAAATTTTTACTGAATTGCAGAACGTTTAGTGAATTGCAGAATATATACAATACTGCCTCCTCCCTGCCAAGTCCTGCCTTGCCACAACAAGGGGAGGGGGTATTCTTGGGAGGGTTGAGTGAAGAATCCAATGGGTATATGCCAAGAGTACATAATCTCAGCAAGGTCATCCCAGTTGCCCAACTAAAGCAAGTTCTAAGTCAAGCTAAAACAGAAGAAGGAAGCCAAACAGTTTCCATGATGTGATCTTGAGCACATATCCACCATTTTCAAGGAGAACATCAGGAATCACTTTGATAGGTTCCCTCATTGATAGAGAACCAGAGGAATTGTGGAATGAAATTAAATTGTTAAGAATGAATGTGAAAAGACTGCCAAAGATAAAGGAACAGAAGAAGGCAAACTGGATGTCACAACAAATGGTAGAAATTACCAAGAACCCAAAGCCAAGAAAGACAAAGATCTCAGGAAGAAATTTAAAGCATTTCAGAGAGCTTAGAAGAGACATGAAATGTTATTACAATGACATCTGTAAAGAAATCAAAGATGGAAACAGATATGTAAAAACAAGAGAAGTCTTCTAAAAGATCTCTGAGCTCAAAATACCTTGAATTGGTATGCTAAAGGACTCTAATGGATGGATAGTAACTGATTTTAAGATGAAACTAGGATGGAAAGAGTATACTGAAATTCTGCACAGTACAGATGTCAACATCCAAGATACCTTAGAAGATATTCCCTAATTACAAGAAACACTTGTGCTAGAAAATGCAGTTTAGATCAGCACTCCAATTACCAAGTCAGAAGACTATGGGAATTGATGGAATATCTACAGAAATATGACAAGCAACAGAAAAATAATAAAGGTTCTAACCAAGCTATGCCAGCAAATCTGGAGAATGACAACAGATTGGAAAATGGCAGTCTACATACCAATACCAAAGAAAGTTTTAATAGGGTGTGCAAACTATTATACAATTTCCTTTATTTCACATGCTGGCAACTTGTTCTTTTAGGTCTTGCAACAGTGCACTCATCACTGTAATTGACCTTATCCACCTTACTGCTGGTCATAGTCTTCTCTTTCCTTTCACCTTTCCCAATATTACAGACTTAAGAGAGCTAGGTCTTTGTGTCCAAAGTATGAGTCTGGTCATTTGTGTCTCAAATGAGAGCTCTGGTTTGATTTTTCAGTTACCATATAGAAATTGTCTTATTTCAGCTATAAGGAAGTTGAACACCTAGGTATCACATGGATTTTTTAAAATAGTAATAATAAAAGTACAGTAACAGATAACTAAATTGCATTGTTAGACTTGAAACTAACTTTTATGGCAACACATTGAGATACATTGAATACATTGTGGGTGTAGTGGTTAAGGTGCTGGCCTAGAAACCAGGAGACTGTGAGTTCTAGGCCTCCCTTAGGCATGAACACTGCCTTGAGTTACTTATAAAAATAATAAAGGTGGGATTTAAAAAAATCTTTAAAAATTAGTAGTAGTTTTTACTTAAGGAAACATAAATACTGAATTAAAAGCAGAAATCCTCAATGTATTGCTATTGTAATAAAATGAGTTGGCTGCTACAGATGGGTATAGAAAGCTTTTTATATTTGGGAAAGATTATTATCCTTACTACGGATGTGGTTGCTATCTAATATCCTAGAAATATTTAACAAAATCAATTTATATTGATGCATGAGAGAATCTTTTCTGATTGCAGAATACAAATTTAATAAACCAACAAGACAAGACTTTAGGAACAGCAAGGAAGCTTCCAGTGAAATATCTCAGGAATGTGCATTTTTTTAATGCAAAGGATATGTATGTTTTATATACAGTATATGTATTACACATACCCAGACAGAGATACAGATAGTTTTGTGGATTTGAATGAAGCAAGACTGAGTTGAGCATTAGTGGAAGGTTTGTGTGCCATTTTTTCTCCATATTTAATTTCACCCTGTCCACTGCTCAGCTAAGCTTTTTGAAATGGGCTGGCAGTATATAGTTCATTGGATGTCTGAAAGCAGAAATTGGATTGACAACTGTTGCAGAACCAGAGAGATTATGAGCTCTTCATTGGATGAAGCATGCCAGGTCTAGCATGCTTTAGGGTTGAATTCTGCACTGAGGGGGGAATTGGACCCCATGATCTAAGTAGCCCCTACCAACTCTATATTCAATTCACTGAAAATTAAAACTGGCAAAACACCACATGATCATTTTACCACATACCTGTTAAGTCTACTTCTACTGGCATTACAAGCCATCGCAAATTAGTAATGAAAATATACATCTGCTGCACTGTTGTCCTTGTGGGTGGTACACTAATCCCATTAGCTTTTCTTCTTGTGCTGTATCTGGGGCACCGTAGATGGGATCAGATAATTTTCTTGCCTTTACAAAGAAAATATTAAATTAACTTTTCTTATACTAGTAAGAGCAGAAATGAAAAGGGACACACTAATCATTGGGGATCTCTATGTGCTGTAGTATTAAAGCACATAGAGATCCCATAGCCTTGAAACTCTATTTAAGGAAAAATGTCTGTGGAATTACAGGGGCACTGTTTTGAGAGAGAGAGAAAGTGAGCACATTTGTGATGGTCACCATTTTAATTTGCCACCAAACAAGAGTTTTATTTAATTCTTCTGTTGACTAATTTGCTGTCAGAGAGTAACTTGTACAGTCTCAGGACTAGATACTCTTTGTATGTGTGTGTCCATGTGTAAAGTTGAACTATTTTTGTCCATACCTGACAAAAAGGTCCCCTGGAGTTGCTATTTGCATTTTAAGAGGCATGCCTAGTGGAACCATCATAAACTTAACGTAAAATGTATATAGCCTCAGAGCAATTAGTTGGTCCACATGTTACAAGATGCCATAATGTGGTTTGTTGGGCTTGGATTTCATAGTTATTTACCTAGCCGATTAGATTTGGAAACTATGGCTTCTGAGTTAGCATGTTGCACAACCCAGCCAGTTGTGGTTTATTCTATCCACACAGTCATTCCCAAAGCAAAGCAAACCTTGGGAAACTCGTTTCCACTATGGGAGAAATAGGGAAGTAAGCCTCCCCAGTGACAGGGTGCATGTACTTGCAGGCGACAGAGTAGCTGGGGAAGAATGAGAGTAGCCAGGATTGTCTCTCTCTCTCTGAAACTGTTGGCCACAAGACATCAGGAGGCACACTGCAGCCTGGGATTTGGGGGATTGGATTATGTACTGCCTACAGTCAAGGACTTAAAATCCAGAACAATATTTTATTTTCAAGAGTTGCTTCAAAGCTGAAGCCTTTCCTTAACAAGGTCAGTATTCTGTTTTTTACTTATTTCAGGATGCATAAAGAGTAATCCATGCAAAAACATTATACAAATAGATTCTCATATTCTGCACAGGACAGGTGATTTATCAAGCTAGCTGGAAAAGGAAATATACAAGCGTTGGTGACTTCTCAAGAGACTGCTGTGGGAGTCAAGATAAAAAGGGAATATAGCTATTGTCAAGGGTAAATAAAATGCAGAACGTCAAGAGTTTCAACATTTCTGAGCATTAATGAGCTCCTGTTCCAGTCATACAACGCAGTGACAGAACAGTGAATGCAAAATTATTATTTTTTTAACTGTAGCATATTTTACCATTTGCTTTGCACAAGAAGTTACAGTAAACTAGTAGGCAGAATGTTTCCAGCCTAAAATAGCTGTAAGATATACATGCAGATACACAAAAGCCAATTGCCTTAGCGCAAGTGCTATCCAAAAGCAATAATTACAAAGTCCTGGTGCATTTTTTAAAAAATCCTTTCTAATTAAGCATGAATGACTATTTGGACAAGGATAACAAGTTCTTCCCCCAAAAGATGCAATAGGATTCCTTTAAAACAGTGGCATCTATTTTTCAGGCTCACACAGAAGCCTGAAAGAAGTTGAATTGCTTTAGAAGTGGAGAGGTCCTAAGCACTCCTTCTGAAACATTTTTGAAGTACAAAAGTTATTGCCTTGTTTGGATCTGTCCCTTTGAGGCTTCAGAGACGGAATGACTGGGGAATATGAACAAATAAAATTTTGCATGTTGTGCTATAGAGAGTGCACTGAGCACACCACATCTGTATTTTCGATCCAGACATATTGGTAAGTATGGTAAGAGACACGAGCATATCTGAAAACTTTATAAACAAAGGAGTTGATCATGCTCCCTGCTCCCCACACTGAGCTATTTACTTCTGACATTCTCTGAGATCTAAGGAATCAAATTAGAAGCTCCACGAGGCACAATTTTTTTTGTGGTCTGGGCAAATCATACTAGTTAGCAGAATAGGTATTACTCATCCCTGAAGAAGTTTGGTTCTGTAAAACAGGACAAATGTTTCATGTGAGCGACAACATTAAAAAAAAAAATGTATGGAATCCTTTTCCTATTCCTGATTGGCTGGAATCAAAAGCTGAGTCTTCCTCATTATTCAGCTCTGAGTTGTATAGCACAAGCTGGATATTTCAGTAGAGTGTTCACTTCCTGTCTTCTGGACTTATGGGATTGAAGAAGCCACATACATATGTAGAAAGTTTCATTTGTTTGTAGATCCTACATAAGGCAAAGCAAGCTGACAAAATCCTATTAACTGTTTATAAAGCTGAATGTGGACCAATAACACAAAAGCCCACAAATTCATCTTTCAATTTCAAAAAAAACAATTGGCTAAGTTGTACCAATTACTATAGAGGTTTTATTACTCACAGTTATGATAACAAAATTCTTTCAATATTTAAAATATTGTTTAAAGTTTTTTTTTAATATAGTGTACTTTCAAAATGTCTCACACAAAAATCCTAAAGTGAAAACCCACACCAACATGACTAAGCAAAACATTTAAAGAATGTAGTAAGTAACCTTTACCATGCTCCTTGTTGCAACACATTGCACAAGCCAATGAATAGTAAACATAAGCTATATTTTACAGATGACGTGGAGCTGTACTTGTGACTGCCAGGATCTAAGATCACACATAGCAACACAAGGTGTAAGCCAAGAAGTTGAATCTATGTTTATATCCCAAGGGTCATACTAGCAAAACTGAAAGACTGATGTTACAATGTAAATATGTAGCTAAATCAGAGACATTTTAATCAAGCAAAATTAGAATACTGGAGGGATTTTTGTGGGAAACATTTCTTTTAAGAAGACATCTGAACAGTCAGTTAACCAGCTAAATCTTAATAACTTTATTCTATGGACAAACCAATTAAGTAACCAATTTCAACTCTCCCATTAATTGTAACTAGAGAATTATCTGAAAACAAGGCAGGGAAAGTATGTAGTGCATGGCTTCTAGAATTCTTTCCATCCCTTGATGGAGCTTAAGAATGGAGGAGTCAACAGCATTCCAAGCCACTGCCCAGCCATCTCTCCCATAGAAGAATTTTTTTCCCTGGATTTTTTTTTCCTTAGGAGACCCCACCAGAACAGATCCATTTTCAAATTCAATTTTTCTTTTGTTGGCTTCTCCCATCACATCAAATTTGGTTCCATTCTGGACAGCTATCCTCTTGATGGATAGACGGACAGAATCTCATATTACACAATTTCTTTCCAGCATTTTGTTGGGTTGGAAAGCATAAAAAATAAATACATAATACAGATTGGAATGTCAGTTTGGTTATTAATAATATTTTCTGCATTCTGCACAAGATGGAAAATGCAATTACACGGAATAATATTACTAAGTGCTATCTTGACTGCAAGTATAATATGTTTTGCTCTACTTGCATCTACTTGTATCTAGAAAGCAATGTCACTCCATATAATTAAAATATAGAGAATCATTCAGAATGTTCATACTTGGATTTGTATACTCTAAAGTGGTACATATTCAAAGAAATGTCAAACTCTTCAATAAAACTGTTTTACAATAAGACGAGGTATAGTGGTTAGGGCACTAGGCTAGAAACCAGGAGACTGTGAGTTCTAGTCCCGCCTTAGGCACAAAGCCAGCTGGGTGATCTTAGGCCAGTCATTCCTTCTCTGCCCTAGGAATAAGGCAATGGCAAGCCACTTCCGAAATCTTGCCAAGAAAACTGCAGGGACTTGTCAAGACTAACTTGAAGGCACCAAAAAAAAAAAGTCTTTTCAAACCCTAAATTTATCTTTTGATCTATTATTATAAATAAGAAAAAGCCCAGCCCTATCTCATTTGAATGATAGATTTTGGTTCTAAAAACGTCAGAGTGTCTACAAAACAGAAACAGCAAACCATCTGTTTTATGTATCACACTAATGTATTTAAATCACAAATGATTCATAACATCAAGACAGATTCATTGTCTCACACAACACTGCCCAGAAATAATTTCACCAATAACAGCCATGAACACCTACACTCAGTATTTAAACACAGCTTATTGAATCAACTATAATTGGTTGGGTTTGCACAAAATGAAAACCCAAACCAAAGAAACCACTATCCATTCTTGTGTGGTATGTGAATCTGGCCTTAATATCATTACTTTCCAGATCCATCCTCTATAAACATATAAAATACTACACTGATGCTGAATTCAGGTGAGATGCTTAAATCTTTTATTGAGCACTCCCTAAAATCCACTGTCTTAAATCTTTTTGATTCACCTAGTTGTTAGATATGTCCTTAATACAAATTGTTGCAATCAATAACCCTTGATCGATAATATAAAATATCCTCAAAACATGAGTTTGTCATCCCATCTTCAGGTAGCACTAATATACAAGTCCTACAAATTAGTCTCCATCTGGGGTCACTAAGCTCAGAGGTTTACTTAAAGCGAACTGTGTAGTGAGAAGCCAGAGGAGTCACCATTGTTGAAGGAATCAAAATTGGAAATGAAGATTTACTAATTGGAGAAGGAGTATATAAACTAGTATAGGCTGTCTATTTGTCTTTATTGGTAGCAAGGTCTCCAGTAAAACTTAAGTTTCAGAGCAAAAGGTATAAAACCTATAAAAACAGATTTCATTTACAGAAGGTAATGTATGGGTTAGAAAGGACATTTGAAATAATCTAGTCCAGCCTTTTGCCCAATCTAGGGTTCCACTTATTTTCATTTATTAAAAGCTGAAAAAGTTTGTGTAAGGCAGAGAAAGTTGATTCCAAAGAAAGGTTGATTGAAAGGTTGAGAAACATAAACAAGAACAATTACATACAAGTTTGCATGTAGTATCTGCCTCTGCCATAAAGTAACAAGCAATATTTTCTTTATCCATTAGCTGACAAACCTGAAGATCATTCTATAACTTGTTAGAAATATAACACAGATCATATTAGAATCCCCTAAACAATAAGTACCTTATCTAGCCCCAAATTTCCACTCACTGATTAAAATATAATGATTTAAAGTCAATATACAATTATTATAAATTTACACTAATATATTAATACATCACATGAAGCCCTGAGTAACTTTCCCTACTGTCTTTCTAGTGACCTCAGGACAGTGACATGTGACTGGCTATCCTTGGGTGAGGTGACAGTTCATTTGTCTTTATGTTCTCTGCATATGTCCACTTTTCTAGTGACCAACAAAAAGATAGCCCAAATAGCTACCCATAATGTTTAAATATACTATAATTTTAAATTAATTATGTCATTAATTTCTTTATGACTAAGAAATACATTTACCAAAAATGCCACTCAGCTCTACTAATTGGGATGACTATGGTTGTCAAAACATAGAGATTTTGATTCTCAACTTTAACTCATGGCAAAATTACAGAGAATTACATACAGAATGAGTAAATAGTTCATATTTAATGACACATCAGAGAACTACGTATTATAGCTTTTACAACTAAGATAAATCCCAGCTGCAGAATATGACTGCTCCACTTCTGTCCTAAACATGGTACCTGCAGAGAATGCCTCATTAATTTTATTTCAGCTATTTTTCACATAACACATGTTCAGAATTTCAGTGTGAAAGTCCTAGTATATAAAAAGCTACTTTGTCTTATTATGTATTACTTCTTAAAGAACAGAACTAGGAAAAGAATTTAAAAATTGAGGCACCCAAGGGTGATATGTAATATGAATCATTCATACCAAAGTGAGTTCCAATTGTAAAACCCAACATCTGTATAGAAATTCCAACATTCTCATCGGCATGGAGAAATATTATAGATACCAATTAGTAAATGACTATGTCCATTAATTAACCAGGATTTAAAAATGCTTTTTATAGTAGCTCCAATTGTGCAGAAAGCTAGTTACTACATGGAAGTGCGTGGAACCAAGCAATAATTGCACTAACCAAGCAGACATAATTTTGTCTTAGTTTATTTCAGGTGCAATTAACATTCTGCTGGTTATACTTAAAGCACTAAGCAGTTACTTAAGATTATCTATCCTATTAGAAGCCTATCCCATACTCAAATACAGATATCTTAAGTTCTCTAGATCCTGGGGCTTGAGAGACACACGTTTCCACAACATACTCCAACACGTTTGCTGGAAATTACTATCATTATTCCAATTTGAGATGGGAAGTACCTTTGAGAAGGGTAAACCTGAGAGACAGTAAATAAATGTAAGTAAATAGATATTTTAACTAACACTTTCAGTACCTGTCCACTACAATGTTGTACTAAAGGTCCATAATGGGTTACCAAATCTTTCCCAGAGCATAGCCCAATTTATAAAAGGGCGTTTGATGATCGCCTATATAGTAACCGTGAACGACATTTCTATTCCGCAAAGAACCAACGCCAGGCAAGAAAAAGGAGAACAAAATTCACCCCTCCGTCAGAAACGAACGCGGTCACGTTGTCTCCGGTCTTGAGTTATAATGGGCAGAAAGAGGAAGCCCGGAGTTACTCATCACGCGAGAAGGGAAGGAAAACCCCGAGGAACTGCGTTCTCCGCAGCGCCCCCTCCGGCCGCTTTGAGGTGCTGCTGCGGAGTCCGCTTCGGCCTGACTTGGATCCTGGCGGACTCCTCCTCATCCCCCTCTTCCTCTCGTGTGTGTGTGGCGCTTCGTCTTTCTCCTCCCCCACCGCCTTAGCTTCTGCCGGGAGGATCAAGATGGACGGGCCGCGACGCTGTCTGGCGGCGGATTAAGGAAAGGCCTCGGAAAACTCAGGCGGCGGCTGCGAGAGAAGCCCGGGCGCCGAGGTGAGCGAGTCGCTGGGTCAGCGGAGAGAAGTCCCACGCTGCTGGCCTCGCGGCGGTGTTTCCTAAGCCATCTGGCCGAGATGCCCTGCAAGGCCTGCGGCTGGCGGAGAACGCGAGTGCCGCGGCGTCACGGAGTAGGAGCTAAGGGGAAGAGTTTGGTTCTTCTGGGGCGGCCTGGCCTGAAAGAGTGGGTCAGGGGCTGTCTATAGAGCCTCAGCTAGGCGGTGGTCGGTAGGCCCGGAAAAATTGGGCTCGGGAGACGGGCGGAATGGAAGTGACCGACTTCGCTTGCTGGGCCCGGAGCGAGGTCCTGTCCGGAAAGAAAGGGTGTTGCTGGGCCTGCTTTTACCAGGGCTTCCTTGGGTCGGTGGGGAAGAGTCACTGGGGCTTCTCAGTCTGCTGCTTTGGGACTTTAATCGGTGAGAATCAGTTTTCCCTTAGGATGTGGAGACGATGTCTGAACACTTTCCTCCGGTTCGTGTTGTTTTAAGGGGGGAAGCAAACAAAAATCTGTAGAACAGCCCAGTATTTGTTGGACGCCACGTTCTTGTTGTAAGAATGCTTGTATAAATGCTTCTGTGAACGTTTGAAGCTTCCTCCTGATAGAGAAGTCATCAGTGTATGTAGTTAGTTTCCAGTGATAATATCTTTGTGAAATTTGGGATTATTCCTAGACTTAGGTTCAACCCCTAGCTAAAAAAAAACAAAAACCCTAAGGGTCTCTGTATGTAACACGTATGGTTTACCACAGTGCCGTTGCCCATTCCTCCGTGTTTACTCTGCTGGGGAGAGTATATCCGGCTTATTTCTCAGTGATTTTCGCACTGAAGTGCAGGTGTGTGGGGGAATAAAACGGTGTTCTCAAAAAGCGTACACTTACTTTCCTCAATGGAAATTGTGTACTACTAGTATCAATTTTTCCTGATTACTTCATGCATTGTTTAATTTGCTATTGATATCAGTTTATTAAGTACACTGTTTACATTGTTTTTTATATATTCAGTCTTGTTGGTTGTATTTCACTTTGAACAATCAGCATACAAATAAGCAATGATAATGCAATTGAAACTTTTTCCAAGCATCACTTGTTTGAGTCTAGACATTTATACTCTCAGAAGCCAAAATAGCAGCTTTATTGACCACATGCTGCACAATCCTATATATGTCTGTTTAGAAATAAGCCTTCTTGAGTTCAATAAATGGTTCAATAAACTTTCTTTCCAAGTTTACCTACAATTATAACATGTTTAAGTCATATTGATATATAATCATCTAATGTTTTTAACCTGATCTTAAAACTAAATTAAGATAACTTGGCCTAACCCTTAAAGGGTTTATTGAAGTAAAACATATCGTTTAACACACAACTTTTATTCTAGAAACTGAATTCTCATTACAAAAACTACAAGAGGTTAACTCTACGAAGTGTTTACAGACACTACAGCTTTGGTAAAGGAAAACTCTACATTTGTGGCATAAAACTACTTACCGGGCAAAAAACAGGCTATATTTCGGTTCTGTTAGTGAAGTTAAAAGGCAACATAATAACAACATAGAAAGAACAACCCTCTCCCCACAAAGCACAGAATGTATTCAGTTCATGATATAAAACTGTTTTAAGAAAAATTGGAATTAAAATTGAAGTGTGCATTATCTTATTTAATTTATAAACTATATAACCTCAAAAAACTCAAGGCAATATAGAAAAACATATAAAACTATATAATGAAACTAATAATATCAAAGCAACAGAACACCTGGTTGGGAAAGTACAGAAAAAATTAAAATATATGTTATCTGTAGGTTCACAAGTCACTCCTGCTCTTAAGCAAACTGCATTATAATTTAAGAGATTGTTAACTCTTGAAATGCTATTTACTGTTTTTTTCCTCCATCAATAACTTATAATAGAAGATCAGTAAATAAAACCATGGGGTTTAAGATTTAATATACTGTTGTAATATTGCAACACACAACTTTTTGCTGGTATTGTCCTGGGTATCTGAAATTGCTAAATTTGATGTGCTCCTCTACCTTGTCACAATTTTAGAGTTGTTTCTGCCCCTTGTATTATAACTAACATTTTTTTAGACATCCAACTCCCACTTTGAAATGTTTAGGCACTATTAGCATAACATCTAGACCAAATTACTAGACTCTTAGCTCCTTACATTCCTGGTGAAGATTTCTAAAATGTATAAATGTCAGCAGGGCCTTTCCTTCTCAAATATTGTTCATTTATAGTATTTCAAATGCACCTTTTCTAAATTATTTCTGAAGCATTGCACAATTATTTTATTGGAGTACAGAATATATATATATCACACTAATAACACACATATTGTAATAAAATTAGGAAGCACTAACAGAGAAATCTCTTGGTTGCTATTTCTTTTTCAGGTGAAGATTGCAAAACTATTGGATTTTTTTCAGAATAGAAGATTAATTGGGCCCAAGTTATTTGACTGCATTTTTAAAAGAATTTTGATTGCTTTTTAATTTAAGAAGAGACAGTACTTTAAAATCATGGCAGATGTGGACCCGGACACATTGCTTGAATGGCTGCAAATGGGTCAGGGGGATGAAAGAGACATGCAGCTAATAGCACTGGAGCAGCTATGTATGCTGCTGCTGATGTCAGACAATGTGGATCGGTGCTTTGAAACGTAAGTAAAGTTTCATTTTGGTTTTATGTTGCTTTATATCAGCTGATCAGTTTGATTTTCATTATGCTGAAATGTTACTGAGAATATGCGACAAATGTTCTTTGTTCAGATTATGTTGATACAGAAATCTCTGTTGGCAATCCATTGAAAGCAGTAGTGTTCTATAAGAAAGATCAGTAATACCAGCTATAATGCACTGTTTTCATTACAAAGTGGTTTGTATTCTTATTAAAGGTAATACAGGTTCAAGAGGAACCTATATTAGGGTCTGCCTTGTGGTGATAAGAGCGAAGAAGCGCGCTTATTTCTCTGCTCTTGTTGTATCTTCCAAATGTTGGCTAGTGGCCCTGTTCAGGGTGGCCTGATCCTTCATTCTGAGTTGGACTAGTCTTATGAAGTTGTCTGAGACATTATCTTGTGATGCTATCTGGAAGGTGTTTGAAGCTGTTAGTCCTGAGGAAGTATCCTTGGTGCTGTGGGTGTGGCCACCGCTGTTTTAGATCCATGCCCTTCCTGGTTAGTTAAGGTGTCCTGGGAGAGAGTATGTAAGTGGGGCCATGCAATGGTGAATGCTTCCTTGAGAGAGGAGATGGTCCCACCGGCTCTGAAAGAGGCGAAAGTCTGCCTCCTCTTCATGAAAGCATCACTAGATGCCAGATCTGGACAGTTTCTTTCCAGTCTCCAACCTTTCCTTTCTGAAGAAGGTTATTGAGAAAGTGGACAGCTTATAGCTACAAAGTGTATTAAATCCTGGAGGAAGCAGAGTACCTGGAACGCTTTCAGTCAGGTTTCAGACCAGTATATAATATTGAGATAGCTTTGGTTGCACTTGTCAGTTATCTGTGGCAGGCTCGTGACGGGGATAAGTGCATCTCTCAACACCCTTTGATACCATTCAGGGGGTTGTGAGTGGGGGCACCAGTTTAGTGTGTTGGGGATACTGTTTTCCAGTGGTTCTCCTTCTTCTGAAAGTTCTAGTCACTGTTGGGGGACAGTGGTCTAGTCCAAGAACCATGCTTTGTGAGGTGCCTCACTGCTCCCCCCTCCTCTTTAACATCTATGTGAAGTCAGCGGGGGGGCATCATCCATTAGCATAGTGTGCAGTCTTATCAGTATGCCGATAATACTCAAATGTACATTACTGCCCCTAGCTGTCCAAGTAAAGCTTTCAAGGCTCTGTGCCATTGTCTAGAGGGTGTGGGAGTCTGGATGGAGAGGAACAGAGTTCAGTTCAACCCTACCAAATGGCTGTAGGTTTTGGGTCTATGGATCCTGGAATCAAATGAATAAAACTCAAGAGATTTCATCCTTGAATCTGGACTGGGGTGCACTGCCATGTTTGGATTTAGTGCACAACTTGGGAGTCCTCCTGGATTCAAAGTTCCTACTTGCAGGGCAGGTGACAGTTGTTCTGGGGGAGGAGAAGTTGTGGAGTCCTTGGGGTTCTCTGACCTTGGTTGTTTCCTTGCAGACATTTCATTACCCGGCAAGGTAACATTTTCAGTCCTAGAAGGGAGTGGGGTTTGCTTTCTGTTTATATACAGTAGCTTACCCTCTCAGTGTTGGTGGGGGTGTTGTATCCTCCTTGGTAGTTCCTTGATGAGGCTGTTGTTTACTGCCTAATTGTCTGAGTTGGTAGTTCCTTGATTAGGGAGGAACTACCAACTCAGACAGACAATGGTCACTCATGCCTTAATCACCTCTCAGTTGGGTTATTGCAACACACTCTACATGGGGCCACCCTCAAGACCAGCTGGAGACTTTAGTTGGTCCACAATGCAATGGTGCGGGTGGTTATGGATGTCCTTTGGTATGCTTATGTAACACTTCTACTCCACAAACTGTACAGGCTCCCAGTAGGTTTCAGGGTGCAATTCAAGGTGCTGGTTTACTGCTTGTTGAGCCTTACATGATATAGGACTAGGTTATCTGTGGGATCACCTTCCTCCACACTCTTGCAGAGAGGGCACACTTTGGATCCCTTTGTTGAAACAATG